CGCTCGTTAGGTTCACATCCGTCAAGTAGAAGGAGAGAGAGGAAGGGGAAGCGGGACCAAGAGTGTGTGTGTGAGAGTGAAGGAGAGAGAGCCATAGCGGGTGAGGGGGAGAGGGAGGGGAGGAGGGAGGGGAGGGGAGAGGGAGGGGGATCGAGAGAGGGAGGGGAGAGAGAGGAAGGGAGGGAGAGAGAGAGAGAGGCAGTGAGGGAGGGAGGGGCCATTGATACAAAGTTAGCAAGGGGGGGCACTAGTAATACTCTGAGGATTGAATGCTCCGACCAATACACAACTACAACCAAGTCACATGTGGACCGTTGGCACCTGGAAATTTTCTTATTGTGATGGCATTTTCATCTAATTGGTCCTCTTCTTGTGAAGTTACTGCCCTCAGCCTGACCGACGCTCACATAGCTATTCAGTCAGGAGCCATTCATTTCTGCACAACACCCGGCAGCACGCGTGCGGACAGGCGTTACTATGCGAGCAAGGATATGGTTCATCATCGGGCAGTTTCTTCGCAAATTTATCGGTATTCTGACAGGCCACAGCAATGAAATAAATTTCACGATACTGCGAGGATAATGCGTCGAGTGAGAATGTTCGCTGCCATAATGACCTAATTCTAACCAAGTGTTTCCACAAATATTAAGCAGAACTTTGCTTTATATCTAAATACTAGTATAGCAGAAGCAGTCATAATTAAGGTGCAGGTTTAATCCATCGTTACAAATTGTACAATCGTGAATCTACTCTGAAATCCCCCGTCTCACCGACGACGACAGAAACAGGAAGAGAAATTGAAGAAAACACCATCAAGGGTTTCGCGTACGTTCAATAGCCAGTACTGCTGTATCTAGAATTACAGCGAGATGGCCCTCTGTAAACATGACTTGCATTGCTTGGGTACTTCCGAAGGTGTCCCCCCACCCCACCCCCACCCCCGATCCCACTCAATCGCGCAAAGTACGTGGAACCCTGCTCCGCACACCGCAGCCTACGAAAAGCATCTCCATGGGAAGTGCAAAAAAAAACACGCGCACGCTGAAAAGCTAGCCTACGAAACGCCCACCCGACTCTCGAGTTCCTGCTCGTACGCCGCAAAAAACATCCGACCGCCACGTCAAATCGCGGGCGTCACATCGCGGGCATTACGCGGGCTTCACTTTCAGGGGGATTCGTTCGCGACGCGGATGCTTCGCACGGAGGGCGGCGCGTGATCTTCGTCCGGAACCCGCTCGCGGGCTTCGGCGCCGACGGCTCGACTCGTTAACGCGCGCGTTAGCGCCGCGTCCGTCGCGACGCACGATTCATCCGCGGGAGCGAAGAACCCTGCGAGATGCGGCCTTTGCGTCTCTCGGTTTGCTCTCTCCGAAGCGTCAATCGGTGTACAATCAGGATTCGCCGCACCCATCCTAAACGCGCACTGCAGATTTTGGGAATGCGACGCCGCGTTTCATTTCGTTTTCTGAAACTGCTGCTATCAAGTGTATCATCACGAAATCCTCCTTTATGCAAGTGTTTGCACTGTGCAGATATTTGAGAGAGAAAAAGGATTGTTGTAAAGAGTTCAAATCAGTGTGCATAGAAATCTAATCTGAGACCGACTACGTACCCCACGATCTTCCTTCCCTGTCTCCCTCCCACACTCTTCCTGTTTCCTTTGACACTCCCCTTAATCATTCACATTACGGAAAGTACTTATCAAGATGGGTTAGATCACCAACTGGTAGTAAGCCAGAAGAAATGAGAGCGTGAGGTTTGTAAGCACGCTGTTGGAATTATCTATGAAGCAGGATGAGACTCACGAGTATCAGACAGGAAGTGGGGGTAGTTATACTACGCTCGTATATATGGGTTATATAACTGTGGATCCTCGACGTGCAAATGCTGTATTCGAGTTGTGAGCACAAGCTTTGAGAAACCACAGAATGTGGCTATGCTGAGTTAACAGAATTGGGCGAGTGTTACTGTTAAACTAGGGGGAGAATGAAGATACTGAAAATTGTGAAAATCGGTGTGCTTTTGTTTTGTTACTGCCAAAATTGGCATAAATTACGTGCAAAGTAAAAGTATGTACGCATTCTATCATATGTAGACAGCAGATGGTTCAAATCGTTTTGCCATTACCAATCTGTGAAAGGAACTTATCCCCAGTGTTTTTTCGTAGGGCTGGGTTGTGTTTGTATGGAGGTAGAAAAACAGAACCGAAAGTTGGGCATGTCATCATTTGCTATGCCTTTAGTCGATAGATGTTACTGTTGAAGTACGCATGATATTTTTTTACAACACATAGTGTAACTGTATAGTGCAGAACATAAAGTACTATACAGCACTTAGTCGATATTGGTAATAAAATACTCTTTATAGATTTAACTAGTATTCTGCTAATTTCCGTTATTTTCTGGTCTAATAATAATATGACCAGTGATACAAAGTACCTATCTAGCTATCCGATCATTCACAGCTATATAAAAAATCACAAAGATGTACTAGTTCTTATATCCCAAAGACTTTCACACTATTGCTTTCACGTAATCCTTGCAACAGGAGTCCACTAGCTAAGAAGTGTTGACTGTTTGAAAGGATTTAGTGCTTCTCTTTCGAACTGCTAACTTCAAAAATACAAATTATATATAGGCCTCATCTTACAAAACAGGATATATCAATTACATTCTAACGCAGGAATGCTTCAGCTCTGACGCCATCGTCTAACTATTGTCTATATCTCCTGTACATCATTATTACATTGACATTTTAATGGTTTCCGTTTCGACTACTTTCTTTAAAATTACACACAAGCCACTGCTTAGAAACGATTCCAAATAATTTACTTGCTATGGTTATCCCCGGGACGTTCTCGCGTGCGTGTGCACTAGATAATTGAAAACGGGAGATTATAATTTTCTCAAATTCCATCAAACTTTACGCGTTGGCCGTTGTCGCTGCACTGTGCCTAAACCTTTAGGCTGAATGAGTCAAACCTTTTCATGCTAGACGAGGTAACACGGCCATTTGCAAGTGCGATTTTAATGACTAAGCCGTAAGTCTAAGCATCGGAGCTTCATGGGATGGAGAATAATTATGGCGACGGCTCACAAATCTCATGCACTAGCTTAAAGCATGCGGCACTGAAGACGCAATCACGGCATTACCATCACAGCACGCACTGTACAGCGGGTACCCTCGGCAGAAGGACACAAGACTGCGTCAGCGGAAATGCGCATCGCAGCGGGGTGTTGAACAACGTACAGCACAGAATATACGTGTATACGGCCTGTTAGGGCTTTCATGCAGGCCGAGTGTTAGTTCAAACCAAAATCATACATACTTGGGGTCTCAATTCATCAGTCGTTTGCCTGTCTGGATCAGTCTACAGAAAAAAAAACACGGGGAAAAATCTACATCAGCACAACATTATACAATACAAGCAAGCACATGCAATCGTCTAAGGAAATCAAACATTGAACTGGAAAATGGTAACTTAATTTTAGGAATTAAGCAAATAGACAAAATCAAATGCTAGAAACAATCATCTAATTAATGCTGTTAATCATTACAAAATAAACGTGCACACACAACAAGTACTATAAGTGAGTAATGCATTCCCTGTTGGATTTACGGATAAATAAAAACACACAGGACTATAAAAGGGAAAATACATTAACTGTCAACAACTCTGAAACTGTCCCACATATATCCACCCCGCCAGCCAAAAAGGTCCTAGATCTCAGTGAGTGAGTGACTCACAAATATATACACGCGCCACTTTTTACGTGAGGACTTTAATTAGTCCACCAGTGTGCCAGACGGATATCAAATTTTCTGAAGCTTAAACTTTAAAGGGTTCACCAACGGTGCATATACCCATGAAAACAGCTGGCCAGTAGACGCACAAAAGTCAGCACCAACAGTGAAACAGTTTAGCACTCCCCACGGAGCCTCTAGTTTTTTTTAGGGGGGGGGGTCTCATCCCTACAGAGCTCGACACCGTCCAATCTCTCCTCTTAGTAATGATACAGGTGCAGTCATCATGAAATGACAGCGGCTTTACTCATTAATGACTCAACACAGACTGACTACAGACTTCGCCGTGGTTGCGCCCACAAGGTTGTTGTTGATGCCAACGATCATAAGAGGCGACAGTCTAAAGTCAGCACAGACATGGGCATGGTAGGCGGCAGAGCATGCGCCTCCACGATTAGAGGTCTCTATGCCCGGAACTCGGCGCTCCCGCCCACGACAGTTGCGAAAGCGCCGGGGACTCTCCTCTCCGTGCTATTTCCGACCAGAATAATGACCATTCGGTGTAAACGCTCCGTATAAATCACGTCACTCAACCTTCGCTCGGCACATCCCCGAGACAAACCATGCGCATACAGCACGCAGCAAATAAATTATACAGATATATAATATGATATATAGCAAGGAATATTACCATGACAACGCCATCGTTGTCATAACTTGACAGGTATTCGTATGGCTGTAGTTTGTAGCATAGGACATAACTGAATAAGGTGATACGACCGGAAGATGTACATTTACAGTAATCAATGTTTGTGAGGGATTGAATCAATGCCTGATGCAAACGGCAAGCAAAAAGGGAGGCCAGTCTAGACTATCAGAGCCTATAAGCGGAAACCATATCCGTACCCCTGCTGCCAAAAACGACCACTAACCGAGCTCCAGTGCAGTCCAGCTACCAAATACATTTACATTACAGACTAAATCAAGGCAGACATGTACGTTTCGACATGAGTCACCAGTTCTGCAGTCACTCTTGCTGCTGTGGTTTGTACTTTCATCATTCAAATGAACCCCCGAATCGAAGACTGATACTAGTGATATTATAGTTAGCCCTGCAGAGTAGATAATACTGACTGATAGTGAAAATGATACATGACTGACAGCTCACTAACTGCGGAAATCTGTTGCAACATCAATCATTTACAGTTCGGGTAATTTTGAAAAGAGCTGGTGTTCAAGGTATTTACGATCACGTGCCTATCCAAACAAACATGCTCAGGTAAATGCATTTACCTATCCTGGACAGGCGCACACATATGCGCGTACACATGTATGCATATATATATGTGCACGCATGTGGATGCCAACGCACCAAAACGAGGGTCAATAACTTTGAGAAACTCGTTAAACTGCCTATCCGCCCAAGCAGGCCGACCTGCTGGCTGTACTTGCATTGCAACCAGTAGAGGCCAGTGGGAACAGCATTATACAAATTCCACAGGACGACCTGCCTAAGGGGATGGCAATCCCGATCAATGGATACTCACCTGGCAAGGACTTTGCCCCCATAGTACGGTACAAGCCTTACCACGTCATCGCCGACCGCAATCTTACAACAGAACTGTACATTGATAGTACTTTAAGGATACTGTTAGGGTTGGGAGGTGATTTTCTGTCGAAATTTCAATACCCACTTTATTTGATAGAACGCACCCATGGGCAGCTATGTACATGTATTTTTTATACGTAGAAATTATGTATGTAGCCTCTCAAACAGTAGCCCGCAGGCCCCGCACCGTAGCTACCTCAGATGATGATAGGGGGGGGTGGCTCGATTCATTTCCTTATTTACCACCACGAAGCTAAATTAATTTGCAAAGATATCGTAGAATAGGAATGTTAACTGTTTTCCACATGCACGATACAGGTGAATTTTTCACAGGTTGTATGCTTGATGAAGAGTGAAGTTATGTCATGTCAACCAACACCCACAGAACAACCACATATACCAACAGTACCAACAGAACAAGACTACTGTTTGCGATTTCAACACTGGAGTCTTGTAATAGAAAAATCATTGAATGTAATCACGATACATGACCGTGCCAAGAGCGTCAATACTAGTGTGTCGCGGGCACATACACAGAACACAAAGATAAAATATGTATATATATGTATGGCATATAGGTAAATAATTAATAAACTAGAAAGGGCAGTTGCCGCAACCTACATGATCGGCCCCGTGTTCTCGCTCGCCAGGATGTTATACAGTAAACGTAAGTTTTGGTCGCGTAGGTCAATTAGGCCCGAGTTATAAGAGCGAAGGGAAATATGATGAAGACAGGTCAATGTAAATAAGAGGTTGCAGTGACCCTGGGTTTGCGGTACGCGACACACCTTCTCCCCAAGATGTGTAAGTATACCAAGTTTGTCGCGCGTAGGGTCAATTAGGGCAGAGTATACGAACGGAAGGGAATCATGATCAAGGTCAAGGTCAAGGTGAAATAAAAGCCGCAGTGACGCTGGTTTTGTAACGCGACACACACATTTCTCCCCCAAGATGTGGTAAGTCATACCAGTTTTGGTAGCGCTAGGTCAATTAGGGGCGGAGTTATAGAGGCAGAAGGAAAAGTATGATCAAGGTCAAGGTAAGAGGTCAATAAAGGTTGTAGTGACCCTGGTTTTGTAGCCCCTAGTCAGAGATTATGGGCCCACAGTTATCAGCGTGAGTGGAAGAAATGATCAAGGTCAGGTAAAGGTCAAATAAAGGTCCGCAGTGACCTGCTTTTGGTACGCTGCGGCACCTTCTCGACCCAAGATGTGGTAAGTATAACGAACACGGTTTGGTAGCCGCTAGGTTAATTAGGGCGCCGAGACCGCCGAGTTATAGAGAGGAAGTGAAAATGTGATCAAGGTGAGTTACAGGTCAAATAAAGTCGCAGTGACGCTTGGTTTTTGGTAGCGCGGTCTGGCCCAACCCTCTCCCCAGGATGTGTAAGTAAGACCACAGTTTGGTCCACGCTAGTCAATTAGAGGGTTCGAGTTTAATAGAGCGTGAAGGGCAAAATCCTCTGGGGCGGCGCGGCTGTACAGACATGAAACCATAGTATCACCGCCGCTCCGTTCGCGGGAAATAACAATAGAATATACTATTCATTAATACACAGCTGTGTGTTTTAGCAATACACAAGTAAGTCACTGAACAGCACGTAAATTTCCCTGCTTCATTAGACACGTGCAAGAAAGGCGTGCATTAAGAGGTAATTAACGCCTCTATTCATAACCATTCTAGTTTGTTATTTATTAATTACACAGCATACTCTGTGTGATGTGCTGTTTACATGACATCTGACAACTGGTGGTTAGAAGCTGTCAAACAGACTCAGGATCAGCAAATCTGCCACCAGTAATGCACTCAGGACGTTCACGGACCGTGTCATCATAACCTGTGACCTTTGAATGCATGCCTTTGACCTGCATAACTACGAGCACGTGATGCGCAATATGATCCAGATGATGCACGAGTACAGGCAATAAAGCTAGTGTATATATAAGTACGCTGTGGCTTTGTTTGTCCCATGCAGGGGCAGTGCCTTTCAAACCATTGTCGTGATTTGCTAAGTGTACTTTGAGCTTACTATATTTGCACATGCGCGCGTCACTCATACATATATGATCAAGAGCCTACATAATACCTCTATGTATAATACCTAAGTATTTATTAGCTCTTGATATGATACATGTGGCCTAACAAACAATTCTGTATTTCATCCACCGTTAAGCATACTGTGATGAAACAAAGCTTAAACGAAGATTTAGGCCCAACCTTCGATGCACTTCCAAACTCTATAATGACAGATTAGGTCGAGCAGGTTTCAGCAACTAGAACGATGTAAATTAAATTAACCAAAACAAAACAGAAATTGGACATGGCAAAATTTTAAAGATGACATGTTTTATTATGGATTGATTGGCACAATTGGACCACGATTTACTATTTCTTTGACATATCAGCTGTTTCGTGCAAGTTTAAGACTTTCGACAAGGCATAACAGACCCATATTTCATCACGCCGCCGTAAATTCCGCTTGACACCTCAACACCGCCAAACACGACAAATTTTCTCAACTCTTTGTTGCCTAATGGCAACGGAACAGCATGATCCCTTGAACGCACAGCTCCTGTATTGTCGGACAGTATTTAGTACAGAGCTGGCTTGTGGGTGCTGATGGGGATTTTCCAAACAGGTCAGCTGACCGTACTTGCCACAACGATGCATGGGGGTCGCTACGACAACGGATTGGCACTAACGGCGCAGGCATGAGGCTTAACTTTACTCTTGCATCTACGCTATTACACGCAGCATCCATCATCACGCATGTAATCACCTTGCACACTCATTCTATCATCAATCCGCCGTGACGACACTTACATGCGAGGTGCTGCCCGTCACCTGGGGAGCGACAATTTAACGAGCAGCACGTACCTGGAGGGCTTGCTCACCTGCGCGACGACGATGTCTAACGGCGCACGTACCTGGTGAGGGCTGCCCTCGACCTGTCCGTGACGACGATCTAACGAGCGGGCACGTATCATGGCGAGGGCTGCCTCACCTGCGCGAAGATGATTCTAACGAGCCACGATACCGTGCGAGTGCTGCCCTCACGCTGGCGCGAGCTGACGATTCTAACGCAGCGCACGTACCTCGCGGGGGCTGCCCCACCGGCCGCGAGGTGATGATTCTAACGAGCGCCACGTACAATGCGGGGCCTGCCCTCACCTGCGGCGCGAACGACGATTCTAACGAGCGCACGTACTGTGAGGGGCTGCCTCACCTGCGCGGACGACGGGATTCTAAGAGCGCGACTAATGGCAGGGCTTTCCTCACCCGGGGAGTCCTGCGCGCGACGATAGCTAACGAGCGACGTACCTGTGAGGGGCTGCCTCACCTGCGAAGACGATACTACAACTCCAACGAGGCGCACGTACCTGCGGGAGCTCCTCACCTGCGGCAGACGAAAACGATACGACGAGCGCACGTAGCCTGTGGGGGCTGGGCACATCAACACCTGCGGACGACCGATACTACGAGCGACGGTACCTGCAGGGCTGCCCTACCTCGCGAGACGATACTAACGAGCGACGTACCTGGTGAGGGGCTGCCCCTCACCTGCGCAGATCGACGAACTAGACGAGCGCGAGTACCTGACGAGGGCTGCCTCACCTGCGCGACGACGATACTGAACGGCGCACGTATCTGCGAGGGCTGCCCTCGACCTGCGGCGACGACGATACTAAACGAGCGGCGACGTACTGCGGGGTGCTAAGCTCACTGCGCGATGACGATCTAACGAGCGCACGTTACTGCGAGGGGGCTGCCCTCACCTGCGGGACTGCGCGACGACTATACTACAGCGCAAGTACCTGCGAGGGGCTGCCCTCACCTGCGTGGCGGAGAACGTAACGAGCGCACAGGTACTGCGAGGGGCTGACCTCACGCTGCCGAGACGACGATTCTAATGGAGCGCACGTACCTGGAGGGGCCTGCCTCACTCTGCGCGACGACTGATACTAACGAGCGCGACGTACCTGTGAGGGGCTGCCTCACCATGGGCGACGACGATACTGAAGAGCGCACGGTACCTGGCGAGGGCTGCCGTGCACTGGCGAAACGACGGATACTTAACGGCGCAACGTTAGTATCCTGCGAGGGGCTGCCCTCACCTGCGCGCTGGACGATCTAACGAGAGCGACGTGAGCCTGCGAGGGCTGCCTCACCTGCGCGACGAACGATATGAATGAGCGGCACGTGGACCTGCGAGGGCTGCCCTGCACCTAGCCGATGATGATTCTAGACGAGCTGCACGTACATGCGAGGGGCTGCCTCGGACCTGCGCGACGACGATACTAACGAGCGCACGTACCTGCGAGGTGCTGCCTATCCCGGCCGTGTTCTGCGCGAATCGCTCCTTCGCCTTGAGCGCGCGCGTGCGCTCGTTCTTCAGCCGCTCGTCGTCTTTCAGCAGCGCGACGAGCTGTTTCGCCTTCTCGCGCACGTTCACGCCCTGGTCCTTGTTGCTCTCGACGTACTGGAAGTCCTTCAGCGTCTGTATCGCGAAGATGTTCTCCTTGCACTGCTGCGCGACCTTCTCCGTGCCCGTCTTGATGAGGTAGTCGAGCAGCACGAGCGCCTTGTAGACGTGCCGCCAGTTCTTGCCGTGGTCGTTCAGCCGCTTCCACACCATCTGCATGATCTCGGTGAACGCGACGACGTTGTACGTGAGGTCGGCGATCTCCGACATGAGCGTGCTCGACGGGCCCCACGCGTCGTTCGACGTCGCCTCGCGCACCTTCACCTGCGAGTCGGTGTAGTTGTGGATGACGTTCTTCACGGCACGGCGTATCGGCGCCATCACTGCTGCTGCTGCTGTCTGTGCGTCGCGCTGACTACCACCAGGATGCGGTCAGGGACCGGGTCGCGAGTTTTTTCACCACGGGTTGTCACTGCGGTGGTCGTCAATTCTTCGCTGCGGGTTGCGTTGCCAGGGATCTCCGGTGGCTCACAGTCTTGTGCCCATCTGGCCAACTAGCTATCAAAGGCAAAGCATGTTTTGTTATTATTGGTTATTTTTCCTCAACTGAGTGTCTTTCCATTCAAGCATTCCTAGGGCTCTACTACTACTAGTACTAGTATACCTAATCCATTCCCTAACCTAAACTAAAACTGACCTATTTACATTCGTGAGATAGAACCACAATCACAAATAGGATACCACTTCAAATATGCTAGGGATAGTTTCTGTGACAATGAATATAACTTATAAGTTCAGTGATTATGACATCGAACAACAAGATCGTTTACAGTCGCTACCGATGTGAATTGAATTCGTTTGGTACCAAACCGTATTTTCGGCCAACGGCAACAGTCAGCAAAGTGCAGAAAAGCCAGCTTCATTCCCACTGCTTAAACAACTGTCATCCGTAGTTCACTGAATAAACAAAACTGTCATGGCTCTGTTAGTAATATGACGGATTTTCTCATCGCAACTAATACTCACATGTAATATAGTCACCGAGCCCCACAAAACTTTTAGCACAGTCCGAGAAAACGGAAAAGACCTTTCTGCTAAAAATGGCTGCTTCCCTCCTTCGCCGATTTAGATGGGGGCGTTATATGCCTACGCGCACGATAAGCAAAAGTATCGAATATGTTGCATATAGCAACCAGGGGACCATCTATTTTAGTGACCGCCCTCTAGCAGCGGATACAAATAAAATGTATTTGGATAATTAAACCATATTAAAGACATATTATATCTGTTGTCTACGTCTCCGAACCTACATAAATTACTTACATTTTATTTTTATGAGGAATTACATATACACATTACCAACTAAAGCCATTAGGATATTTACTCATTTCAACTGCAATCCTCAGAGTCAGTAGACACTAAGACAGTACGACTGTACGTGTTTATCCGTTATTTTAGAAATTTGGCTTCACTTGAATTTCACTCCTGCTGCAGTGTCACAGTCCTATATTAATATTATTATTGATGAGGTCATGAGATTATTTTTAGACTTATTCTAAAGGAGACACTTCCGCGAAATTCTGGTATGGGTCCGTATTCTACGCGTTTTATACTCCCATGATATATATACATATATATCATGAACTTGTGTATATTATAATCGTGTTATATTTTCACGTATTAGCTATATGAGAATACATGTGATGAGTATGAGTATATGAGTATATATAATATATACGCTGGATAGTCATACGCACCCCGCACTCACAAACAGACTGAACAAATTCAACCCATTTTACAACAAATTAAATAGGGGAGGGTTTCATTCATGAAGGATATGGGGATAGGCTTGAGCTAAGCTGAAACCGGCAAAATATATTCCCTGAGTTGTAATTACTGTGTTATGAATGTCACTCGTGTAATAATTATAATGTAATACACAATGTCATCTCATTTTATCGCGGGCACAATATTTTGTAAGTGAGCTTGCCACACTCCCACAGCTTGCCTTGCCGTTTCGGTTATTGCACTACCAATCCAGGTTTTATTGGTACTAAACAATAGAACAACATGTCATCGCGATACCCACAACTTGGAGGGATTCAAATGAACAGTGTTATTTATCATTAGTACATTACTGTACTGTGTACAGCATCATTTCTGCAATAATATATTTACTACCTAGATACGTGTATGACACATAGTTATACTCATAGACATAGGTATTCTGGTATCCTCGAAACACAGCAAATAGCTAATTGTGATATCATTATTCAACGCAAAAATGCCAAAATAAAGATTCTCACACGTCATAGGCCTAGTCATTCGAGGGAATGTGAGTGTGTCACTGTGTATAGCGGATGCGATAAATATCAATAACGTATCTCTATCCATGTATCTTCCGCTCGGCCACAGACTCGTCTGTGGTGGAGCAAAGGGTCACACGAGTGTATGTGCAATGTGATAATTAATTTTTTATTATTAAAATGCCACATATTGAAATAATTATGAATACGATCTTATATTTTGACATTTTGTCATATATCATTATATGATCAGGAGTGAATAATAATAAATATTATTCACTCCTGATATGATATATATGATATTTTGATATTTATGATATTATATGTTTTCAGATGAATATATCACAGGAAAGAAGAAAAGGAGAAAAAGGCATGTTTATACTATTTATGTTACGCAGTGGCTACGCATCCGGAACCGGTCGTCTAGCCTCCAGGCTATGCATCCGGACATCCACTCACACAGTGATCGCGTGACTCGCGTACACGCATGATTGCGCAACGGGACGCTTCTGCCTGATTGCCAAAATATATGCGCCATCTATCCTCCATCCGTCCTTCTCGCTCTCTCCTCTCTCTCTCAATCTCTCACACACATGCAGCAGCTCTTGCTCTCTCTCACCCAACACGCACAGCTCTCTCTCTTTCACACACAACGTCACAGCTCTCTCTTTCAACACGAACACACATGCCAGCTCTCTCTCTATTTCCTCTCCTCTCATACACACACCGTAGCCCTCTCTCTCTCTCTCTCTCTCTCATACAACCACACCGCTAGCTCTCTCTCTCTCTCTCTCTCTTCTCTCTCCTCTCCTCTCTCCTCTCTCTTCTTCTCTCTCTCTCTCTCTCTCTCTCTCTCTCTCTCTCTCTCTCTTCTACTCTCTCTCTTCCTCATCCTCTTTCTTCTCATACACACACACGCTAGCTCTCCTCTCTCCTCTCATCTCTCTCTTCTCTCTCTCTCTCTCATCTCTCTCTCTCTCTCTCTCTCTCTCTCTCTTCTCTCTCTTCTGCTCTCTCTCTCTCTTTCTCTCTCTCCCTCTCTCTTCTCTCTCTCCTCTCTTCTCTCTCTCTCTCTCTCTCTCTCTCTCGATCCTCTCTCTCTCTCTTTCTCTCTCTCTTCTCTCTCTTCGCTCTCGCTCTCGCTCATCGCTCTCGCTCTCGCTTCTCGCTCTCGGCTCTCGCTCTCTCGCTCTCGCTCTCGCTCTCGCTCTCGCTCTCGCTCTCGCCTCTCGCTCTCGCTCTCCGCCTCTCGCTCTCGCTCTCGCTCTCGCCTCCTCTCGCTCTCGGCTCTCGCCTCTCGCTCTCGCTCTCGCTCTCGCTCTCCTTCGCTCTCGCTCTCGCTTCTCGGCTCATCGCTACTCTCTCTTGTCTCTCTCTCTCTCTCTCTCTCTCTCTCTCTCTCTCTACTCTCTCTCTCTCTCTCTCTCTTCTCCTCTCTCTCTCTCTGCTCTCTCTCTCTCTCGTCTCTTTCTCTCAGCATACACACAATAACACAGTCCCCCTCTCTCTGCTCTCTCTCTCTTCTCACATACACACAACAACACCACGAACACACACACACACACACACACACACACACACACACACACACACACACACATACACACATACTCGGCAATCAGCAGAGCGTCCCGTTGCGCAATCATGCGTGTGCGTGTCGCAAGATTACTGTGTGAGATGGATGTCCGGACGCGTAGCCCAGCGGCTCCTCGTCCGGAACCGGTCGCGTAGCCACGGCCTTTATGTTATTTACATTTGTTCTGTATTTATACAATGTACATCTATATCATGTACATGTTACGTTGCAGGGCCGTAGTGGCCGCCACGGCAGCACGGCACTGCCGTGGCACTATTTTGACAAAAAAAATTGTGCAGGGAACCAATTAAGGAGCTGACTGTTATCTGACTAGACTGTCTGGTATTACTATTAATACTGATCAATTAGAGGTGTTATATCGGTGCTCTAAGATTTGGAATGTGTATTTAATATGACAATGTGCCTATATAAGGTATTGTGATTCAAATTCAAACTTCAAAACATACAGATGTACATAGTGAAAGTATAAATGCAGATTGAAAATAGGCTAATTTTTCATAATTATGTACTGATACTGATAGTATATACAATTTTGTAAACAATGTTTTATTAGTTATCATACTCATAATATATATTTTAGATACTTTTAGTCAAAACATCAGTTTAGCTACATTCCTTTTTGAAATTTACTAATTGACCTTTTAAAATGACCATTTCCAGGCTCTAAATTTCAAAAATTTTGTTGGGGAGGGCCCCCAGACCCCCCCATGGGCTTCGCGACTGCGGCGTTCGCCGTGTGTGCTGGCACACACCATAACCGCCACTTAAATGCTACTTACTGGGTGATCCTACATTTTTCTGCAGTAGCACATTTTGGGAGGCCACTACAGCCCTGCGTTGTACGTGCCTATGACATCGGGACAAACGTATTCATTGATGTATAGCATTTCCTTGTGGAGACTATGGGACCATGCGCATGCAAATAAACTAGAAGAGAGTAGCTTGTAGAGTTACTCTGAAGGGATTCATAGCAATAACAGAAATAATTTTTCACAATTTGGTGTTTATACATATTGTTAGAATCTGTCATATTGAGCAGAAAAATTGTATGTAGCATAAATAAAACAAGAGTGTGATTAATGAATGATAGTTAAAGCTGGAGTAGAATGATCCTTTTACTATCATGTTTCATTTTACACTTACAGATAGTAGCAAGGGCTCTGCAAAAAAAGGAAAAGTTCGGTTTGATTTTGATGGTAAGTTGAATTGCGTTTCTAGTGCACATATATAGCAAACGATATAATTTACTAAAGCTCATACATGGTAGGAATTAATGTGTATGGCTGGACAGAATTGTTTAAGCATGTACATTGTTGGATGTTGGGGAAGCATTAGCCACAGAGAATTTGCCTGTTTGCCTGACATGATTGGTATGCAGCTTTAGTAAATCATTGCTGTGGTAGTGTGTTTTAAAATACAATGATTAGCAACGAAGTGCAACAAAGTTGCACATTTTGGCATCCACGCATACAAAACATACAATACATGCATACTTGGTATAGCTTCCCCTACCTAGCAACAGTATCCAAGGGGCATAGTTATCTTACTCATACGGCTAGGTCAAATAATTCGCATTTCAACTGCTTTGTTTTATAGAAGACGATCCTCTTGCTGGGTTGCTGTCGGACGATGAAGCAGATGCCGCTAGTCAGACCAAAAAGAAGCTGCTTACGAGGAAATCAAACGTGCTCGCTGCTTCTGCGGAGTCACAACAAGAGGCATCCACCACTCCCGCTGCACCATCCCAAGAGAGTGCGTTCGAGAATGCGACTCGATTGAGATGTTTAATATTCTTTTAGTTAGTGTTATTTTTAAATTGCAAATGTTGGGGCTATGCCTGCTAAACACACGATAGTTCGTTTTGTTGCATATCTTATTCTGAACTAAGTGTAATATGATATAAACCAATACAATTGTGGGAGCATTTCTAGTTAGAGTGAGCTACGTGACTGGCAGAGCCTAGAATACTGTTTGCATGCACTATGTTGAAACACGATATTGCAAAAACGTTTCTCTGCTATTTGACAGAAGCCAAAATCAAGATACCATCACATTTTCTCGACGACGATGACGTAATAGCAAACAAATCGGGCGATAAAAGTACGGACTCGGGAAAGCAGGCTGCAGCCGGTGAACGTGCAAAGCTACGGAAAGAACCTTCCTTGGGAAAATCGAGCCTTAAAAAGCAAGATGTCAGCTTTAGTGACGACGATGACATCCTGGATGAACTTACACGTCCTAGTCGCGTAACCGCTCGGCAAAAGGCTGAAGAACCTGCTAAGAATGAAGCTGCGACACCAAATCCGCGTGGAGGGAAAGCGAGGCAGTCCGCTGCCGATTTCGATTTTGACGATGGCGATGTTCTCGGTGAGTCCTAGTTTTCACGCAAAGTGTTATTTGTGCATTCCACGTGATTCAGCAGTTAGAGAAGATACCAAAAGACTCTACGTAGTCGCTCTGAATAAACGATTAGCATTTTGTCAGAGTACACCTCTTATAGTGTCCTTTTTGCGATTATCTGTGGTGGAATATTCGTAACCAGATTATGTTACGGTGTTCGTGGTAGAGGGTATGTATTAGTAATTGTTGTGCAACCTATTTTAGGTGATTTGGGCTTGGAGGACACTCCACCTAGGGAGCAGGAAAGGACTATTGCGGATGAAAATGCAAAATCCAATATCATGAGTGAGCTGTTTGGTACGAAACCCAGTATGACTGTAGATACACCGAAGAGTGCCACTAGTGGAAAGAGACAATTTGTGTTGGACACAAAATATAAGAAATCAGGTATGTATAGTTATGGTTTCCCATTATTGATTCTGATAAAATCGGCTCATAAATTCAATGACTACAAAATGTGACGAAATATTCAAATTTTGTTATAACCAAGGAACTATGCCCACCATTTTTTTAGAATCTGTAAAAGTTCACTTTTTCTTGAAAGAACACTTCTTCACTTCCAACTCTATACCCAGAGGCAATTAAGTACCTAAATTAACAATTTTAAATACTACAGCAGTAGGTGTTTAGTAATGATTAATGCTACCTCAAGTTCTTTTTTTCTTAGATCTGGGAGACACTTTTAATGAACGACCTGCTAAAACACAACTCAGAAAACAAGGGGATTCAATGGAGGAAAACTTCCAGTTTGGTAGCTACATGCCTTCAGCTGTTACTAATCGTCCCAGCACTGCCCCTCGTGAACCAAGAGGGTAAGAAGAGTTCTAGTTCATTCTATAGTCCTAGGGTATTCGTAGCTATGGTAATATCGCTTTAGGTTTTACACGTTTCAGTACAAATGATGGCCAAACCAAGGTGTGGGGTGCGGACTGTAGACATAGTATAACATCACAATATACATATAACACACATAGTATAAAGCCGAGTTATAGAGAGGAAGGAAAATATGATCAAGGTCAAGGTAAAGGTCAAATAAAGGTCGCAGTGACCTGGTTTTGGTACGCTGCCCACCCTCTCCCCAAGATGTGTAAGTAGACCAAGTTTGGTCATGCTAGGTCAATTAGGGGTCGAGTTATAGAGCGGAAGGGAAAATCTCTGCGGCGGCGGCTGTACAGACATGAAACCATAGTATCACCGCCGACTTCGTCGCGGGAAATACAATTAATATATATTATTAATACACACCCGTGTGTGTTTTAGCAATACACAAGTAGTACTGAACACACGTAAATTTCCCTCTCATTAGACCTGCAAGAAAGGCATGATTAAGAGGTAATTAACCCTCATTCATAACGCATTCTAGTTTGTTATTTATTTAATTACACAGCATCTCTGTGTGATGTGCTGTTTACATGAACCTGGTGTAGAAGCTGTCAAACAGACAGCCAATCTGCCACAGTAATCACTCAGGACGTTCACGGAACGTGTCATCATAACCTGTGACCTTTGAAATGCATCCTTTGACCTGCATAACTACCACGGTGATGGGCAATATGATCCAATGATCACAGTACAGGCAATAAAGCTAGTATATATAAGTACAGCTGTGGCTTTGTTTGTCCCATGAGGGGCAGTGCCTTCAACATTCCCTCGTGATTTGCTAAGTGTACTTTGAGCTTACTATTTGCACATGCGCGCGTCACTCATACATATATGATCAAGAGCTAATAATACCTTATGTATAATACCTAAGGTATTATTAGCTCTTGATATGATACATGTGCCTAACAAACAATTCTGTATTCATACACCGATTAAGCATACTGTGATGAAACAAAGCTAACGAAATTTAGCCAACCTTCGATGCACTTCCCAAACTCTATACATGACAGATTAGTTGCGAGCAGGTTTCACGCAACTAGACGATGTAAATTAATTAACCAAAACAAAACAAAATTGGACATGGCAAATTTAAAATACAGTTTAATTATGGATGATTGGCACAATTGGACCCAAGATTTACTATTTTCTTTGGACATTACTGTTTCGTGCAAGTATTAAGACTTTCGAAAGGCATAACATCCATATTTTCATCACGCACACGTAATTTCCCTTGAAACCCTCAAACCCCAACACGACAAATTTCTCAACTCCTTTGTTGCCATGGCAACGGAACAGCATGAATCCCTTTGACGACAGCTCCCTGTATTTAGAGACAGTATTTAGTACAGAGCTGCTTGTGGTGCGCTGATGGGGATTTTCTCAAACAGGTCAGCTGACCGTACTTCACGACGATGCATCGTCGCCACGACAACGGATGCATTAACGCGCAGGCATGAGGCTTAACATGTACTCTTACATCTACGCTACTTTACACCAGCATCCACTCATCACAGCATGTAATCACCTGCACACTCATCTACTCATCAAATGCCGCCGTGACGACACGTACATGCGAGGTGCTGCCCTCACCTGCGCGACGACGATTCTAACGAGCGCACGTACCTGCGAGGGGCTGCCCTCACCTGCGCGACGACGATTCTAACGAGCGCACGTACCTGTGAGGGGCTGCCCTCACCTGCGCGACGACGATACTAACGAGCGCACGTACATGCGAGGGGCTGCCCTCACCTGCGCGAAGATGATTCTAACGAGCGCACATACCTGCGAGGTGCTGCCCTCACCTGCGCGACGACGATTCTAACGAGCGCACGTACCTGCGAGGGGCTGCCCTCACCTGCGCGATGACGATACTAACGAGCGCACGTACCTGCGAGGGGCTGCCCTCACCTGCGCGACGACGATACTAACGAGCGCACGTACCTGCGAGGTGCTGCCTATCCCGGCCGTGTTCTGCGCGAATCGCTCCTTCGCCTTGAGCGCGCGCGTGCGCTCGTTCTTCAGCCGCTCGTCGTCTTTCAGCAGCGCGACGAGCTGTTTCGCCTTCTCGCGCACGTTCACGCCCTGGTCCTTGTTGCTCTCGACGTACTGGAAGTCCTTCAGCGTCTGTATCGCGAAGATGTTCTCCTTGCACTGCTGCGCGACCTTCTCCGTGCCCGTCTTGATGAGGTAGTCGAGCAGCACGAGCGCCTTGTAGACGTGCCGCCAGTTCTTGCCGTGGTCGTTCAGCCGCTTCCACACCATCTGCATGATCTCGGTGAACGCGACGACGTTGTACGTGAGGTCGGCGATCTCCGACATGAGCGTGCTCGACGGGCCCCACGCGTCGTTCGACGTCGCCTCGCGCACCTTCACCTGCGAGTCGGTGTAGTTGTGGATGACGTTCTTCACGGCACGGCGTATCGGCGCCATCACTGCTGCTGCTGCTGTCTGTGCGTCGCGCTGACTACCACCAGGATGCGGTCAGGGACCGGGTCGCGAGTTTTTTCACCACGGGTTGTCACTGCGGTGGTCGTCGATTCTTCTTCGCTGCGGGTTGCGTAGCCAGGGATCTCCGGTGGCTCACAGTCTTGTGCCCATCTGGCCAACTAGCTATCAAAGGCAAAGCATGTTATGTTATTATTGGTTATTTTCCCTCAACCGAGTGTCTTTCCATTCAAGCATTCCTAGGGCTCTACTACTACTAGTACTAGTATACCTAATCCATTCCCTAACCTAAACTAAAACTGACCTATTTACATTCGTGAGATAGAACCACAATCACAAATAGGATACCACTTCAAATATGCTAGGGATAGTTTCTGTGACAATGAATATAACTTATAAGTTCAGTGATTATGACATCGAACAACAAGATCGTTTACAGTCGCTACCGATGTGAATTGAATTCGTTTGGTACCAAACCGTATTTTCGGCCAACGGCAACAGTCAGCAAAGTGCAGAAAAGCCAGCTTCATTCCCACTGCTTAAACAACTGTCATCCGTAGTTCACTGAATAAACAAAACTGTCATGGCTCTGTTAGTAATATGACGGATTTTCTCATCGCAACTAATACTCACATGTAATATAGTCACCGAGCCCCACAAAACTTTTAGCACAGTCCGAGAAAACGGAAAAGACCTTTCTGCTAAAAATGGCTGCTTCCCTCCTTCGCCGATTTAGATGGGGGCGTTATATGCCTACGCGCACGATAAGCAAAAGTATCGAATATGTTGCATATAGCAACCAGGGGACCATCTATTTTAGTGACCGCCCTCTAGCAGCGGATACAAATAAAATGTATTTGGATAATTAAACCATATTAAAGACATATTATATCTGTTGTCTACGTCTCCGAACCTACATAAATTACTTACATTTTATTTTTATGAGGAATTACATATACACATTACCAACTAAAGCCATTAGGATATTAGATAGGAACGCATCCATTTTGTGAATCAGTCTTTATTCAATGATGGTACTTGATACAGATTACAAATG